GTCTGCTTCTCCCTCTGACCCTCCTCCCTCTCATGCTCTGTCTCTCATTCTCTCTCTCTCAAATAAATAAATAAAATCTTTAAAAAATAAATAAATAAATACCACTTAAAATATGAAGTAATTTTCAAGATTCTTAAAAACATAGCCCCTCATGCTCACTATGTATTTGCCAGACACAGATCACGTAAATCAATCAACACGTTCCCCTTTACACGTGACTCAGTGGCACATTAGGAAATGTAGGGATGGAATGTCACTTTTATAGCATATTCTACCTACAAAACACTTTATAATAATTTATCAGTCAGTCAGTGGTAATCAGAGCAGAGTTGGCTATTGACCCAAACACGAATGAGTCTAGGAGTTTGAAATATGAAAATATTGAAATAAATGACAGGAAAAATCAAACTCTTAAGAATCAGGAAATGCTACTTCTAAGGATTCACAAACCACTAATAGAATGAGCTGTTTTTAGGAATCCTTTCGACATTTTTATTTCTGAAAGAGATAACCCTCACATGTAATTTGTAATCAGGCAAGTTAAAATAACTGAAAAATTACCACAATCTGTATATAACAGAATAATTGCATGTTGTAAAAGAAAGAATGATAATATAATGATGAGGACATACAGAAAGGGGACTATCAGTACGAAGTCTTGAAAGGAGAGCTTTGGTTTTATTGATTTTTAATCACGCATGTTACCGGGGGAGAGAGAGAGAGGGAGAGAGATGGGCACAGGATGTCTCAGAAAAGTAGAGCCTGGTGAGGCAGGCAGCCCTGTCTGAAAACCCCTTAAGACCATTCCACTCCCTTGGCTTCATGCTTATTAAAAATCTTCTGATTTTGGTTTCCTAGGTATCCGAATTCTAGGAAGTGAGGAGGAAATCTTTATCACTAGAAAGACAAAATTTCTGTTGTAAATTAAACATTGTTGATGGAACTGGAAATAGTTGATCTTCTGATAGGTCATTTGAAAATGCCTATCAAAATAAATAATGCACTTACTCTTTGACCCAGCAATTCCACTTCTAGGTATTTATCCTATAGCTATTAAGGTCCAAGAATATAGAGAACACTCACTGCAATATTGTTTGTAGTATGAAAAGATTAAAAATAAGCTAAATGTCCACCAATAGGGGGGTTGGTTGTTTAAAAATTTATCAAACATCCAAAGGTGTATTATGCAACCATTAAAAATGGAAGTAACACTGTATATAGTGATATTAATGACATCTAAGATATGTAAGTGAAAAAGGTGTGGAAAAGTGTGTTATCTTTTTAAAAAGGACGGACACACGGGGACACACACACACACGTTTGTAAATTTATAGAATTCTCTGGGAAAATACCCAAGAAACATTCAGAGTTACCCCTAAAGAGAAAAGCTGGAGGCCATAGGAGGGTAGACATTTTTTATCGTATACCTTTTTACTACTAATTGAATTTGAATTATTTGCTTTGTACACATCTTTTTCATCGTATACCTTTTAACTACTAATTGAATTTGAATTATTTACTTAGTACATATCCTATTTAACAACAAAGAGAGTTTTATTGTAAGCTAATGAAATAGCAGCTGATCCAACTCCCCCTCATGCAAGGTTCTTAGCTCACAGATTCAGAAATGGTTATCACCGTGTGGCCTGACCTACAGACTTCCCAGCCGGGAGCCACGTAACCCACCCCTGTGCAGGATCCTTGACACAAATATTCCCACTTCATTTTGTAAGAATTCCTATTACACGTAGGATAAATGGGCTGAGATGGATGAAATAACTTCAGAAGCTAGTAAACAAAAAGCAAGTATTTTCATTCAATTCATTCAATTTGCTCACCCTTGGGGTTTGCTTCTTGTATTATATAGAAATGATGACCAAGAGGGTGTTTTACACTGGATGGGGGTACTGAAATCACTTGTTATTGCATAAAGAATCAAAATCGTTCACATAGGAAAGGGTTAAATTAGGATCATCATAATCAGAATGGGGAAAAGTAGCTGTGTTAGGACTGATTTCATATACTCCCCAGTGCTCTGGGACATGCATACATCAAGTAGAGGCCAATTTGAATTTCACTTCCATTTGAGTTTTCAGTTTAGAAGCTGATACAATATCTTTATACATTGGTTTGGCAGATCCAGTGGGTGAATGTCATCTATTAAAAGTCAGGCAGACAAGATAATTTCCCTCCTCGTCAGAGAGGGTTCAAACTACATGACTGTTAAATATTTCTATGACTTTCTATAGTGCTGATACTAAAATTATAATAAACTGCCTTTCAATTAAAAAGTCAAGGTAATTTAGCAGAACAAACACAATGCTGATGCAGAGTTTTTTCAAACAAGTTAATAAAATTTCACAGGCCCACAATTCAAATTGCAAAAAACAAAGTCCTGTGTAGCACAAAATATAGTTACGATGGATGTTATTTCAAGAACATGAAATGGATCATAACCCTGAAAGTTCTACTTCCCCCACTCCTGCTCCCAATGACAAACCAAATTAGTAAACTTTAGGGAAATAAAACTATGTATAAAATACATTTTTATTAACCCAAACACTCAAACCTTAGGTGTTATAAAACAAATTGCAAAATTACAAATAAGAACTATCTCATTCAGGGGCACCTGGGTGGCTCAGTGGGTTAAGCGTCTGCCTTTGGCTCACTCAGGTCATGATCTCTGGGTCCTGGGATCAAGCCCTGCACTGGTCTCTTTGCTCAGTGTGGAGTCTGCTTCTCCCTCTGCCCCTTCCCCTGCTTGTGCTCGCACTCTCTCTCTCTCTCAAATAAATAAGATCTTAAAAAAAAAAGAACTATTTCATTCAACATTTAATGAGATTCTCAATAGATCATTAATAACAAAAACAACTTCAAACCTTGGATTTATATAATTTTTAAAACATTTTAAAAACTGCTTTCAAATATATTATCATATTTGATCATCCTACTGACTCTCTGAAGCAGGTAAGGCATTTTACAGATGAAGTGACCAAAGTTCTGAAAGTCAAAATGACTTATTTATAGAAACAATGTAAATTAGCGTTGCTAAAAATAATATAATTAAGGCTTACAGAATCTAGCATGTTTTCCACCAAGCCAGTGTGTCAGATTGAAAAAAAAAAAATAACAAGACTTGGTATTTCTTTTATTCATTGGTATTGACACAAAAGGCACGCTTCCCAAATCTGTCTTGAGCACAAAAGCCAGAAGTCATCCCACATTAAGACAGATGACAAAATAAAAAATAGAGGAGCAAAAAGTTACAAACAAGACGATGAACTTCAATCATGATAAATGTAAAATGGGTTCAAAAATTAGTGTTTAGGTATATAATAGGGAAAACATAAGCCCTTCTTCAAAACCATTTATCAGGCACCTATTATACGT